TCATCCCAGGCGCCCGCTGCTTATCGCGCTTTGGGGCCGTTCCCTTCGGAAAAAGCGTTGCGAGCACCGATCGGCATCGGGAAACGGTTATGAGTTTCGTAGGAAATGGTGGTTTAATTAGGAAAAAGCGCTGCATGACAACGAGCGGGGAGTTCCCGCCTCTCGGCGCCGCACCGCTGGCTCCAGCACAGCTGGGAAATGTCCGAACTGTTGGAAAATAACTTTCCCTCCTGGTTTTCACAGAGAAATGAGAACTCTCCACTAGTGTGCGGCTCTCCCGGGGCTGGACAGCTGGTTTCACTTAGATTTGTGTGTGATCAGCCTTCCCGGCATCTTCCTGCTATTTTATCACATGTCAGCGAGTTAGTTTTACCGTATAAGGACTGCGGGCTGCTGCTGGCAGAGGTGGAGCCAGACTAACTCCAGCTTCCCCGTGGCCCCGTCTCCATAGCTTTGGAATCTCGCTTAATTAAAATATGACTTAAAAGCGGCCTGTCTAGTGGAAGGAGTTTAGACTGCCACATAACAGATGCCAGTTTTCTACATGATCGATGCCTTAATCAAGAGTTAAACACATAGGACTGGGTAGAAAACAAATGAAATGCGGATAATTTACGACTAGAGGAATCCTGGGTCGGCCTCCATTTGGGTCAGTCACTGAAATCCTTCCAAGATGGGACAGCTATGAATGGAAACCACTTCCTCCAGCTTAGGAGGAGCGGTCAGTAACCAAATTTGAGAAGCTGCAGCAAACCAAATATTTTTTTCCAAGTATTTAACATAAAGCAATTGCTTTTCCAGGATCTAGAGCCTGTAAAACTGATTTTTTTTTTCCTTTTAAAGTTAATCTTACATATCGTAATCATGGTCAGATTTGGGGACAATTAAGTGTGCAAACCTGGAAGTTATTAAAGTGGGGCTTTATTTTCCTTCAAATAATGAGCAATTAAAGGAGCCATATCTTAATAAACACAATGGATTTATGGACACCAATTGGTTCATATTGTCTGTATGTGAGCTCTTCTCCCAACAACCTCTCAATTTATTATCTAGTCTGTTTTTTAAACATTAATAGTGTTTCCAATTACTGCACAGTTTATTCAATTATATATAAACAGACATTAAGAAATGCTTTCTGCCTAATGCCTTAAGTACCACAGGAAGCAATGAAAAAGGAAAGTGAACTTACTTTGAGACTATACTTAATTTTGCCCTATTTATGTTACAAAGACGACTGACTCTCCCATGCTGAGGCCAACTGTATCTGCCCAGCTGACCGCGGAAAGATTATATAGCATTTGCAGGCTCAGGAGCCCAGAATGGGTAACGAGATGGCTTTAACTTCAGCAGTGTGCTGTGACAGGATATTGCTGCAATCAGAGATGAAACCAAGATCAGGGAAATCAACTCTGAAGTTTTTGGAACGAGCCATTATGGAAACAGTTGGGGCTTTAACTTTGAAATCCTATGGGTAGATCCAGCCCTTTGCAGTGATCTGCAAATACTTCTCTGTTGGCAACCGGTGTCGAATCCTCCATTGTATGGCAGGAATGATAAGTACCATTAACAAAGAAAGGAGAAGCACATACTCCATACCTTGAAATTCCTGAGATGCCATAGTTTAAACAAACAAATGCAGAGGCAGAAAGGTTCCTAGAGCTCCCCTGCACACACCGAGGAGAAGCCTTTGCAGCTGTAAGGAAACCGATTAGTTGAGAACGTTTGTCAGCCGGGAAGCGGCTGGTCCATAACCTCCGTCCTGGGCGGTTGTGTTTCCTACAGGCCGAAGGCGAGGTGGCAGCTCTGAACAGACGTATCCAGCTAGTGGAAGAAGAGTTGGACCGTGCCCAGGAGCGGCTGGCCACAGCCTTGCAGAAACTGGAGGAGGCGGAGAAAGCAGCGGATGAGAGCGAGAGGTATGTTTCCTTTTTTTTTTTCCCCCCTGTAAAAAGTTGAACATAAATGAATAAAATATTCCCCTATAATTTAGTACCTGAGTGTGCTAATGTGCACTGCAGGTCAGAGACCCAGTACTATAGGTGCCTTTTGTACAAGCTTAAATGAGTAATTCTGTTAGCCTTGAGGAACATGATAGTATGGGTGTAACGGGCCGCTTTTTGGTTACAAATACTGAAAAAGTGCTAAAATGCTTCTACATTAAACACACTTGCTTTGACTTCTGCAGAGGAATGAAGGTTATTGAGAACAGAGCAATGAAAGATGAAGAGAAAATGGAAATTCAAGAAATGCAACTGAAGGAGGCCAAGCATATTGCTGAAGAGGCTGACCGCAAATACGAGGAGGTAAAAGGGATAAGGAAATGAGTCGACATACAGGAGAACTGTGAACAACTTTGTTACTCTTCAGTTTAGTCATCGTTTGTGCGCTTTTCACTGTGTGACTGTTCGACTTTAGAACACTCCCCAAACGGAGTAATTTTAATAGTGACTTTCGCAGCACCTTAGATAGTTAATGCAAAGAACATGCTGATGGAAAGAGTCTGTCATGTCTGTACATGTATGTTTTAATCTAATTCCATCACTCAGAAGGAAAGCACGAGCGTAGTGCTTTGAGGGAAGTGTATAGGAAATACAGCTATTGTCTCTTCACAGGTTGCCCGTAAACTGGTTATTTTGGAGGGTGAACTGGAAAGAGCTGAAGAGCGTGCAGAGGTGTCCGAAGTGTGAGTAGCTTCAGATACACGGAAGCCATGTAGAATACAGAAAAGGTCAAAGCTCTGTTTCATTAGAAAAATCTACTACTGGTAGGCAGGCACATTGTATGTGTAGAAAAGCTTCTTTGTACTCTATATACCCAATTTTCCCCTTTCAGACAATAATTACTTCATCTCTTGTCTTTTTAGACTTCCTGAAAATTAAATTAAGTCATAACAGGGACAGTAGTAATTTATATCTTTTTTTTTTTCCTGTAGTAAATGTAGCGACCTTGAAGAGGAGTTAAAGAATGTCACTAACAACCTGAAGTCTCTGGAAGCTCAATCTGAAAAGGTTGGTTCTTGCTGTAAACTAAGGGATGGGGCAAAGTCAAACCTCGTCAATAAAATCCATAGGAATATGCCAGAAATACAAAGAAAGCGGAAGGGTTTAGCTGCCTGCCTGTTTAACAGAGGCTGTTGATGACACTGAATCAGTTCTGCCCAAACCCAAGCCAGTGATCTGGTAATTATCTGCAACACTGCTTCAAGCCAGCACCTAAATCTCTGTTTCCCACACCAGTACACCACTGGCTGCTCTTCATTTTCTGCTCACACTCTTTTTGTGCTTTTTGCCCTCTTAATAAATAAAATTGCTAAACATCCTGATTTCCCGAAACCATTGTTTCTGGCTAGCCTGGCACGGTGTGGAAGGCTTCACCTTCTCTTGCACTTTCAGCTGGTTTTGCGCTGCAGAGGGTAACCCCATTAAGGTCTAAGGTGACACACAAAGGAACTTGGACATCCCAGGTGTTAAAATGATGGTTTATGGGCCAGAGGCTGAAATGTCATGGAAGGGGTGTTTGCAGCTGCCATGAAAGGAAAAGTGGTTATAAATAGGTCACGGTTTCATAAACATTTATTGTTGCTTAAAGAGTGTTTATTGTTTTCACAGTACTCAGAGAAAGAAGATAAATACGAAGAAGAAATCAAGATTCTCTCTGACAAGCTTAAAGAAGTAAGTTTCTCCATCCCCAAACTGGTTTTGGGCACAGTTTTTTAAACAGTGTCCAATTACTCTCTTTATTTTCTTTAGGCTGAAACTCGTGCTGAATTTGCGGAGAGAACTGTTGCCAAACTGGAAAAGTCTATCGATGACCTGGAAGGTATGACATTACTCTAGTTTCATTTAGAAGTGGCCAATTTCAAATCAGAAAACAAAATTCTAGGAGTATGATATTTTATTGGGAAGGGACAGAATTGCTCGTCAGGTGTATCGGTAGGTCAGCGTGATGCGTCTGTCCCGCATGGCACCTCCTAGCCAGAGGACATTTTCCTGAAAGAGGTTTGTTCTCTTTCAAAAACACTTGGGTCGCAATAACCCGCCTCTGGCCAACTCATGGATACAGGGACTCAAGGGCACCTTCTGTTCCTAACAAGATGGCAGCCCTATGTAATCTGATTACCGAAAAATCCTTTTGAGCGATTAAAAAAAAGGGAAACGTAGACAAAGCTTCTAACCTGACAGCTGTGTGGATGTTTTGCTTTCGTACCGATACTCAGTTACGCATCTGTTTTCTTTTGTTTTCCTCCCCAACCGCTTTGGCTGCTGCCTTCCGACTGTCTCCATGTCTCCTCCTGCGCACCTCTTCCTCTGGACTGTTTTTCTGCATTTCTTGCTGAAATGTGCCTTCTGCCCTTGTGACCGCTAGACGAGCTGTACGCTCAGAAGCTGAAGTACAAAGCAATCAGTGAGGAGCTTGACCATGCTCTCAATGACATGACCTCTTTGTGAGCTGCACCGACGGGGGGGCACAAGGGCCGCTCTGGTCACTCCATTTCTTAAGCTTTTCTGTACCTGTCACTTCTCTGCAGCTTCCACCAGTGAGCCTTCAGCCTCCTCTGGAAGAACTCAGCTCAATAAAAACAAGATACCTCTACCTTTCAGCTTTGGGGCTTTATTTCCTTAGAATTCACCCAAAATACGCTAGTAATGGCACTGAAAGTTAGTTCAGCTCTTCATGCCGGGCACGGCAGATGAGGTCAGGGCAGGCGTCCCCGAGGTCAGCAGGACCCGGCGTGTGGGCAGGCGCCTGAACATTCCCAAGGACGCGTGCAGCAGTGAAAAGCTTTGGGCGTGTTCGGGGTGTACTTGTGGTGCACTGTCTGGCTGGTTAACAACAGCTCCTGACGGACGTGTCCTGTAAATCACATTACATCAGAACACAAGACTGTCACGTTACACGTAAGATGTGTCCAGAAACCTCACTAAATTGGAGCAATTACCAAAAAACTTGGCCCTGTTTTGTAGATGCAGTTACAGTGTTGTCTTGAACGCGAAGGTAAGTAATCACAGGTTTATTTAAAGAGAAGCGGCTATAAAATAATGCGGGTTAAGTCTTGTTTTTTTCTTCTTTCTCATCAGAAAAACTTGCTCAAGCAAA